TGCCACCAGCAGTGTCCTTGATGTTTTCAAAAGCCAATCCAAAAACACATTGGGGGGGAATTTATCCAAACCTGGAGCAGTCGCCCATGACAACCAATCAGCTTCTCTTTTCAGTTTGTTCAGAAAAGTGGATGCTGATTGGCTGCCGTGCACAGCTGCTCCAGATTTTGATAAATTCCCCTCATTGTTCCTCGAAGGCCGTGCGGATAATAGACTTCTTGCACACAGATTCTGCAGTCTAGCATTTTAAGCAAAGTGCCCTACACATACTGTATGCGAGAGATGCAACTGGAGGACTCCAGCAAACTCTCATGCTACCTCCATCTGCTGCACATGTAGAACAAGAAAGGGATCATCCAATGGTTAGGTCGCTTCTATAGGATTTTGACCGGTAAGACGCGATGTGACAAATTACATTCTCCGCCAGAGTCGGTTTTGAAGGAGGACTAGCCGGCGAGAACAGAGCTCTGCAAAGGGCTTCCAAATGCTTACTGATTGGGTCCTTAAAGACAGGCGGAGTCTCCACCGTTATAGGAACCTTGTTGAGTGTCTCTCCAGCCAAAAACTGACAACGTGTCCTCTGCAAGGTTTCCCCCACATACGATCATATGTTGTATTTCATGTCCTTCGAGAAGGAGTTAAGGAGTTGCCCGCCCCCCCCGGTCTAGTAGCTATTATCATCCAACATGACAAATGTATACAATGGGTTGTATTACGGATGCACCAATACTAGTATCGGTGGCGATACCAAGTACTTGTACTCGCCCAAATGCTCCGATACCTTCCACAATACCGGAGAACGTGGAGCCAGCTTCCCAGGCAATCAGGAAGCTGGCTCAATGCTGTTTGGCGGGGAAGATGATTTCCAAGCCAATCATTGAGACGGCTTCCCGGCTAATCAGGAAGCTGTGCGGCGATTAATGACCCGCCTCCTGGTTTCCTGATGGGCCAGGAAGCCGGTTCCATGCTGATTTTCTGGGAAGCCGGCTTCCCGGCCAATCAGCATGGCGCCGGCCAAACCGCATGGAGCCAGCTTCCCGGCCAATCAGCATGGCGCCGGCTAAACCGCATGGAGCCAGCTTCCCGGCCAATCAGCATGGAGCCGGCTTCACGGCCAATCAGCATGGAGCTGGCCAAACAGCATGGAGCCGGCTTCCAGGACAATCAGGAAGCCGGTCATTACTCGCCGCTAGGGTTCCTGATTGGCCGGGAAGCTGGTTCCATGCTGATTGGCTGGGAAGCCGGTTTCCCGGTCAATCAGCATCGAGCTGGTGAAACAACATGGAGCCGACTTCCCAGGCAAACCTCTGACCAGATTGCTTGGGAAGCCGGCTCCATGGGAGCGGAAGCACCAGTATCGGTGCTCAGTATCGGTGCTCAGTATCGGTGCTCAGTATCGGTGCTCAGTATCGGTGCTCAGTATCGGTGCTGGCAAAATGTCGGTACTACTTAATGCCGAAAAACCGGCATCAGTGCCTCCCTAGATCATACATGTACAGTAGTGGCGCTGTGTATATGTTGTTTCTCTCTGAACACTTACCTAGATGTCGCTGGAAGAACGCGAGAGTCACATGGATAATAATTTCCATCCCCACATACGGATCAATTTCTCCCTTCAACTTGAATATTTTCCCTACAAGATAACCGGTGAGGAAGGTGAAGTCCGGGAAGCTCTGGTGTACACTGCCCCTGTACAGGGAGAAAGGAGAACTGCGTCAGGCACACGGAAAGAGCTCACTCCTTAGAACAAGGATAGGCCATCTCAGAACTCCAGCTGTGGTGCAACTACAAGTCCCATCGCATGAGGCACTGCAAGACACCGACAGCCACAGGCCTGACTCCCACAGACAGAAGCATGATGGAGTTTTAACACAGCTGGAGAGCCGACGTTGCCTACCCCTGCCTTAGATCATCACTGTAACATGCCTAGTACATGGAACAACCTAACAGTACAGTCCCCCGCTTTGTTCTAGGGAGGAAAATAAAAGTTATACTCACCCGATCCTCCGAGCCAGCCGGCTGTGACAGCGCTCCCTCCAGCCTGTCTCCTCTTACCATCTAGCAATGATATGTCCCTCAGTGTGCTCACATCCTATACACTGTATATCCAATGTGATGACTCAGGGACCTTAGACGTCTGCAGCAGAGGGGGAGCAGAGGCTGGAAGGACCAATCTAAGAACAAGCCGGGTCAGACCAACATGAGCAGTTAACCCTTGCATTGTGGGGGGAGGGGGGTGGAGGCGGCTGCTGAATGACATTTCTCTGTATACAAGATGGAAGTATGTGGCATGGGGGAAGACCAGCGAAGTAAAGGCTCCTCCGTCCATCACTCACATCCCATGGAACGTTAGGAGTGGAAGATTTAGTGAGTTGAACAATGAAGATCACCAGCACACAAAGGAAGTAAATCCAAATGTTCTTTTATTCAGAGAAGAATAGAGGGGTCCCTTCTTCAGGGAAGACATAGTCACCTCTATGTCATTATATTTTCACTGATGAAGGCACCCTGTGTGGTCACGAAACGTCGGCTTCATAACACTTTCTTCTCTGAATAAAAGAACATTTGGATTTAGTTCCTTTGTGTGCTGGTGACCTTCATTGTTCAATCCTTGGATCTGCATGGCTCCATCCGTGGACATCACTACCAACGGTCCCCATTGCTGTATGATGTGTAGGGGATACCTCGGGTTACTAGATGTAGGGAGTTATCGCCATCCGCTCTCAGTTATTACTCAATACAGCGGCCTGCATTTTGTACCCCATTCATAAAATGTAGGCTGTAGTATGGAGCCTGTGGTACGTCAACTAATTCTCACTCCTGAACACAGCAGAAAGAACTTGATGATTGAAGGGAAGCAGGCCATGTGACTTTGGGAAAAAAAATGGGAGAACCCAGTCATGTGACCTCTCATTCTGGTGTTTTGCACTCTGTCAGATTCAGGATATGTTCACACCGTGTCCAGACCAGATCTGGAGCTGATCTGCAAATTGAGTGTAAAGCGTTTTTGCTGTGTTTTTGACACGTTCCAGTGCGGGGGGGGAGGGGGGGGGAAGATTAGCTTAAAATGGGCTTTCCGGTGCCGTCCAGTGCATTTCCTTGCATTTTTTATACGTTTACATGCGTTCCACACCAGAAAATATAGTGCATGCAGCAATATTTTCCCCGCAGCAGAACAAACTGCACTGTGTGAACAGAGTCCAGATATACCATAGGAACAGTGGCGTCACAAGAGGGGTGCGGCCCACACCCGGGTGACACCATTGCAGGGGTGACACCAAAATTACTGTCATTTTGGTGTCACCCCCTTAAAAAGTAGGGTAAGCGATCATGGACCGAGAGCCCGACAGTGTCAGATGAGAGGAGGGGACGCGGCAGCATACCTCATCCCGCCAGGTGAACGTTCCCTCCTCTCTCTCTGCCGGCGTCCACCACCAAGATGGCCGCCGGCAGGCGTCAATTAGACGGCCGCGCATGCGCAATGATGTAATCTCGCACGCGCGTGATGCCGTCACGGCAGGGTGTCACCCAGTCTCCGCTCCGGGTGACACCCGGCCTCGGGACAGCACTGCATAGGAATACATTGGGATGCACTTCAGATTCTGGTCTGGAGATGATCGGGAATGGTGTGAAGCTTTTAGACTCCTGAAGCCAGCGGAGCACAACGCACATTTGCGAGCTAATCTCTGAACTTTATAAATAGATGGAGCTCTTTATAAGCAGCAGTATGGCCGCAGAATGGTAAACGCAGCTAGATACATATCTGCAGTGGCTGTAAACATACTTGATGGTGATCATCTTCCTCTCCACGCTGGAGGAATCCATCTTCTTCATGATCATGACATTGTCCACCCACTGGAACTTCTCGGAGTTGACAAATAAGACCGGCTGGTGGATGACAGAGAAGATTTCATCTCGGAGAGAGAACATCCAGGCATCCAGAGCGACACCACACCTACAACCACAACATAGCAACATGTCATAAGCTTAAACGGTCATTAAACCCTCATGTTTTTTGCATATGTCTACAGCTAGCAAGCAGTAGATATATGCAAAAAAACCTTTTGAAACAGGTTGAAACTTACCAGTGTCTTCGCCGCGCGCTCCCGTCTGAACATCTAAAGAGCCTTGGGGCGGGCATATGCGCAGTTCAGATGTTCGGCCGGGAGACGAGAAGAGACACAAGGTAAGTCTATGGAGCAGCGTGCACCCGCACAGATTCCGTGGGGCATGAGAGAAGAGGAGGACAGAGGAGTCAGTGCTGGATCGGAGACCCGCACCAGCGCTTTAATGTCACTGTAAGCACTGCAAGATGGTTTCTAACATTGGAATCACAGGTTATCTTTATACAGAGCACACTGTACTGTACATCAGAGGTGTTCAATGACCTTTACCTGGTCATTGTTTGCATTCCTCATTTTCTGATCTCATCATTTATTAATAGGGATCCCTCAAACGAATGTTTCTCATAATGAAAAGACTCCACACATTTCTGTGGAGCTCCATCCGGTGCACGGTGGCTATAAGCTGGGTAAAGGTTTTTTACATCACATGCAATGGTAAGGATTTCCCAACCAAAGTGCTTTATTTCTAACACAGATGTCCCCTTCTAGGTGTGAGCGCCTCTGTCCCAGCATTGCCCTAAATATTAAAGTGACACTAAACTCCGGAGTTAAATCTTAAAAATACATTCAAGAACCTAAACTATTAACAAAAATTATCTTATGTGTGTATCACTCGGCTGTAGATCCTCCAATCATCTCTGAATTGGTGCTGACACTGTCCTTCCTTCTGGAGGGGGGCTACTTCTGTTCCCCCCCATCCAGAAGGAAGTTCTGGAGGGGGGAACATGGTCCCTGTGTGTGTTGTAAAGTAGTCACCGCTCCAAGCTCACTTCTGTGATGGACTACAATCTCAATACAAATTACTAAATTATATGTGAGATTGTAGTCCATCCCGGGTGCGAGCTTGGAAAACGAACGTGAGGGCGCAAGGCTAGGGGGACTAAGAAACTGATGGTAGCACAGTGGAGAAAGTAAGAGGAAATGGTTCACTTACTTTAAGTGGGTCTCGGGACCAGATGGATGTGTCAGTGTGTCCGTGTCACCGCTGGAGCAATGTGAAGTGCCGGTGGTGTGAGGACTGACGTCAGGCTGGGCTGCCGCTGCGGGGGGAGGAGATCGGGCTGTGAAATATGCGTATCCGGGCCAGTGTCCGGGCCGTGGTGAAGATGCAGAATGGAGAATCGGCCGGGGTGGTGATAAAGTGAGGAAGGATCAGGTTGGTGAAGCAGTGGGTGGAGGCTCGGGAGCAACGCGTTTCGAGGATGTTACCTCTTTATCAGGCTCATTAGGAATGAGCTTGATAAAGAGGTAACATCCTCTTTGAGCAAATCATTGCTCCAGCGGTGACACGGACACACTGACACATCCATCTGGTCCCGAGACCCACTTAAAGTAAGTGAACCATTTCCTCTTACTTTCTCCACTGTGCTACCATCAGTTTCTTAGTCCCCTTTAGCCTTGCGCCCTCACGTTCGTTTTTGTTTCACTAGTGCAGGCACTCCTCCTGTCTCTTAGGGCTGCAGGCGAGGCAGAGCTACAGCACCATATTCCCTTGGCCCAATCCGAGAGCGCTGTTCGTAATATTTGTATGTGCTAGAGTGGGGTGTGTAACCAAGACTCTCATCCTATAGCTGGGACCCGTGACTGGTGGGGCCTATAGTGAAGGATCCTCCGGCTGTATGGTCTACAGCAGAAGTAGGCAAACTCTGGTCTTCCAGGTGTAGTGCAACTACCAATCCCATGAAGAGTTGCAAGAGTCTGACAGCCAGATGCATGATCGGCTTCGTAGTTTCACCACAGCTGGAGGGCCGGAGTTTGGCTACCCCTGCTGTAGGCTAACCCCTTCCTGCCCTCAGTCTGTATATAAATGTTCCCCAGCACGATGCCAAACATTTCGTGTGGCTGGTGGCTCTTAATCCCGACTATCATAGACAGCTCAGGTCCTCACTGAGTATTTGGAACCAGCCAGAGTAGTTCACATATCTGATAAATGTCAGCTATGACCTAGTGAAGGTTTATTTTGTCAATGAAGTATGTGGTATACATGCAGGCTGGGTGCTTCATTGACTAAATAAAAGCCTCCGGTCTGCAGATGCCATCTTTAGGCCTCTGTGGGCTCTTCAGGCTCTACAGCCGGGTACGATTTGTATACCTTGTCATTGTCATGGAGCTCAGCTTCAGTAGGTGCAGGTCAAAGAGGCCATGATTGATGGAGAGTAATGACGTCTACCTCTTATGTGTTCATGGTTCTAAAAACCTAAAGAGAACCAAATAAGACACAGTCACGCCCTTACTTGAATCGTGAATCCCTGCCAAGAGCTTTGATTGCTGTAGCTGCCCCAAAGGAATGTCCCGCTGCTGCCACTCTCTGCACATCCATCGAGTCCTGAAAAGAGAAAAGGTCAGACTTGTGGAAATGTCAGTCAGAGGGACAAATAATCGTTTTGCTTTTGTTCTTATTGTGTAGTTTGGGCTTTATCAACCTGAGGCTCTTCAGCTTTGTGGAACCGAGTCTGTGCAATCAGTGCCTTGTGGGAGTATATCGCGGGTTCATGCAACGTTTTTCCCTAGCCTCACGTGTGTATGAACATAGGGACCCGCAGGAAGCAAGACCTGCGACATTGAAACGGTCACACGTCGACTCTATAGATCGGGAAGTGAGTGAACACATACCGTCACCCGCGGGGCGGGCACAGCTGGCTCTGCCTCTAGATAGGCAGAGTCCGCTGTCACTCACGCAGCTGGGCGGATCGCGACAGTATTGTGAGGATTTGTCCCGGCTCTGGCGCTCGCAGCATATAGTGGGCACTAGCCCGCTATATACTGAGCTTTGAGTCACAAGAGGAGGTTAGTGTATGTCCTCCCATGATCCTAAAGAGAACTATGGGATAAAAAGGTTACCCCCATAGTTCTCTTTTAATGATCAGGTGTGTGTGTCAATGCTTCATATTACACCCTAAACATGGTCAATAATGTGCATTTGGCCTTTCAATAAAATGAATTGATTGCCAACAATGAAAAGCAAACATTGCACATTACCGCTCTTCTGTCTACAAGCCCTTCTCATGAATGGTCCCATAAGAAGCATACTGAACAGGCTGGCGGGTATGGAGTATATGGTATATGTGTGTGTATATACATACATATACAGTATATGGAGTAGGGAGGTAGCATACATGGTGCTTCAATGCAGATAACAGCTTTGCGGAGGCTGGAGTTGTACTCTATAAACATCTCAGAAGTTCCCAGATCATCTTTTTGTATATTATATAAACTTTTATTTTGTCAGATGGAACAGCAACCAGAGACATATGAATATTGCAGTCCATGTAATTACAAAGACTTGATTTGTGAACCTGGTTCCAGTTATACAGAAGCGATGAATAGGCCATAAATCAATCAGTATTGGCTCATCATGAAACCCTCTGGCCTGGGTACATGGGCTTTTGTTTCCTTCAGAACGGCTTATCTCCCCATACTAGTCTATAGGAATGGAAAAGCAGCTCAAAATATGATCAACTGCAGATCAAATTCCCCTCATAATGAATGAAGAACTCCCTAGAAGTGTCTCAAATTGATGTGAAAAGCAGCTCATGAAAGTCTGTCCATGCAGGTCCTAGCTAGGAAGGTGCTGGAATATTTCTCTACAGAAGTGCCTATACTGCCTCCAATGGACCCACCTTTAACGGAAGCCAGTCAAAGTTGGATGGCAATGCATTGGTTACTGGTTTGCCAGCGTTGATATCCAGCATGAGGTCCAGAGCCTTGATGCACTCATCTGCCCTCTTCTGTACCTACAGACATAAAGCCAAGGACAATCATCCACAGGAATTCATTTGCAATAGAAAGATACATATAGAAGTCATAGAGAGAAAATGAGTCAACTATCTTCCTTCTGTAATCAATGTAACAATATTGGCTCGATAATGTTTAATCTGTGATGGGCTGACTCCTCTTCATACAATTTAAGATCTGGTCTGTATTCTCATTTCAAAACAAAAAAAAACAAAAAAAGTACGGGCATAATATATACACATACACACCGATCAACCATAATATTATGACCACCCGCCTAATACTGAGTAGGTCCCACTTTTGCCGCCATAACAGCCCTGACCCGTCCAAGCATGGACCCCACTAGACCTCTGGTGTGTGCTGTGGTATCTGGCACCAAGCCGTCAGAAGCACAACTTTTAAGTCCTGTAAGTTCTGAGGTGATCGGCCTCCATGGATCGGACTTGTTTTTCCAGAACATTCCACAGATGCTCGATTGGATTGAGATCCGAAGAATTTGGAGGCCAAATCAACACCTCAAACTCGTTGTTGTGTTCCTGAAACCGTTCTAGAACAATTTTTGCAGTGTGGCAGGGAACATTATCCTGCTGGGAGAGGCCACTGCCATCAGGGAATACCTTTTCCATGAAGGGGTGTACTTGGTCAGCAACTATGATTCCCCCATCCACTCTATTAAGTAGGGATGAACCGATACTAGTATCGGTGCCGTGTATTTGGGCGAGTACTCGTACTCACCCAAATGCTCTGATGTCTAGCCCGATACTTCCCGTTTAAGGAAGCCGGGCAGCACGTCATTACACACTGCCCAGCTTCCTCATTGGCTAGGAAGCCGGCTCCCTGCTCCCTCGTCACTTGTGACGAGAGAGCAGGGAGCTGGTTTCCCGGCCAATCAGGAAACGACTAAAGTAATGACTCACTGCCAGGCATCCTGATTGCTCGGGAAGCTGTCCAATCAGGAAGCCAGGCACCGTGTAATGACGTGACGCCTGGGTTTCTGATTGGCCAGAAAGCTGGCTTCATACCTCCTTGTCATCTCATGACGAGGGAGCATGGAGCCGGCTTCCCGGCCAATCAGGAAGCTGAGCATCACGTACACGGCGCCTGGCTTCCCGATTGGCCAAAAAGCCGGCTCCATGCTCTCTCGTCACATAGTGACGAGAAGCATGGGGACGGCTTCCCTGTTAACGGGAAGCCGGGTGGCGAGTCATTACAATCTTCACCTCTCCGAACACTTTTTCCAACCGTCCAACCTCTTACCTGCTCAAACCGGAGTGGGAATTCGTCTGCTCCTGGTTTGGGAGCCTTGTTATAAATCCACACCTCCTCCAGAGGGTCACACACATCCTCACAAGGGTCCGTAGGGGAGCTCTCCCGGAGATAAAACGTTGCAGATGCAGATTCATCTCTGTTAAGAAAGTATTACATTTAGATTTCCGCAATCTTTATTGCTCAGATAATGGCAATGCAGTAATCACAGAATGGACAATATTGGTGTGTGTTGTGTGCTGAGAAACTCCAAGGGATGCTTCCAATGAATACAAAAAAAAGATCCAAAAGGAAAAGTGAAGTACGATATCCAATTATATAAACATAAAAACAGGCAGCTAAACAGCATGTGGTTACACTATTATATACCCAATACAGAGAATATTTAAAACATACATATCCAACTTTACTGTGCAATATTGTACTATTACTTTAGAGGCCCTGCTGTAATATAGCATGAAAAATCCTGTACTTTACCTCCCCTCCTGTAACAAAGACCGCTGACTGCTGCTCTCTCTCTTTGTGCAGGGTGACTGGTCTTGTCTCCGCCCCCTCCTGTAATAAAGACCGCTCACTGCTGCTCTCACCTTGTGCAGGGTGACTGGTCTCGTCTCCGCCCCTCCTGTAATAAAGACCGGTCACTGCTGGTCTCTCTCTTTGTGCAGGGTGACTGGTCTTGTCTCCGCCCCCTCCTGTAATAAAGACCGGTCACTGCTGCTCTCACCTTGTGCAGGGTGACTGGTCTTGTCTCCGCCCCTCCTGTAATAAAGACCGCTCACTGCTGCTCTCTCTCTTTGTGCAGGGTGACTGGTCTTGTCTCCGCCCCTCCTGTAATAAAGACCGCTCACTGCTGCTCTCTCTCTTTGTGCAGGGTGACTGTTCTTGTCTCCGCCCCCTCCTGTAATAAAGACCGCTCACTGCTGCTCTCACCTTGTGCAGGGTGACTGGTCTCGTCTCCGCCCCTCCTGTAATAAAGACCGGTCACTGCTGGTCTCTCTCTTTGTGCAGGGTGACTGGTCTTGTCTCCGCCCCCTCCTGTAATAAAGACCGGTCACTGCTGCTCTCACCTTGTGCAGGGTGACTGGTCTTGTCTCCGCCCCTCCTGTAATAAAGACCGCTCACTGCTGCTCTCTCTCTTTGTGCAGGGTGACTGGTCTTGTCTCCGCCCCCTCCTGTAATAAAGACTGCTCACTGCTGCTTTCTCCTTGTGCAGGGTGACTGGTCCTGTCTCCGCCCCCTCCTGTAATAAAGACCGCTCACTGCTGCTCTCTCTCCTTGTGCAGGGTGACTGGTCTTGTCTCCGCCCCTCCTGTAATAAAGACCGCTCACTGCTGCTCTCTCTCTCTCTCTTTGTGCAGGGTGACTGGTCTTGTTCTTTTTCACCACATTGACTAATTGCACATCCAGAACCGATGGTGTATATGGAAGGTCATAAACATATTCTGCCGACACTATTGTATTCCATCTTCAGTATCTTCTAAATGAATCCACTTACCTGTGCTCAACTGCCGCAACTACAAAGCCCTGTGACGCCAACCCGATACAGATAGCTGAATACAACGTTCTGTAAAAAGACACACGTTTTAGAGATAGTTATAAAAGGTAATGTAGAACATTTTATAATGTTGAGGTCTAAAAATTATATTTTTTATATCCCAGCACATTTCTTCTTCCATCTGATGAAGTTGAAGTTACCTGAAAGCTCCGAGCCCGTGGGAGAATATGATGAGGGGGTATTTTTCTCCTGGTTTGAATGGTGCATTCAGCTTTGCCGGACATTTCACAGACCCTGCGCGTAGGACATAAAGGACATCAATGTTTTGCGGCCATAAAAATAAATAAACTACACACTACAGCGACATATTCAGTAAAGAGGAAGAAAGAAATGATGTGCTGTCTGTAAAGTGCAGCAAGCAGCAGCAACCAATCAGAATGCATTTCACTCAGCCAATCTAATACAAGAAGGATTCTCTTTGGTTACACAAAGTCTTGGCATCTTGGCTGTTGCATTGTTTTACTGAGTGAGCCTTTATGTGTTTATTTTATTCACACTCACCTTTAAAGTGACACTATACTCCGGAGTTAAATACTAAAAATACATTCAAATCCCCTAACTATTACCAACAATGTATCTTATCTGTGTATCACTCGGCTGTAGATCCTCCAATCATCTCTGAATTGGTGCTGACACTGTCCTTCCTTCTGGAGGGGGGCTACCTGTGTTCCCCATAGTCCCTATGTGTGTTGTAAAGTAGTCACCGCTCCAAGCTCATTCCCGGGATGGACTACAATCTCAATACAAATCAGTAAACTAAACATGAGATTGTAGTCCATCATGGGAGGGAGCTTGGAGCGGTGACTACTTTACAACACACACAGGGACTATGGGGAACAAAAGTAGCCCCCTCCAGAAGGAAGGACAGTGTCAGCACCAATTCATGGTCACATGTCCTAGTCACATGTGCCAGAGGTCAGGGAAGTAAAAGGAGATCTAGTAACCTGCCCTTAGTATACATGGCCACTGTCAGAAGACTGGGGAAGAAAAGAGGAATAAGGAATGCAAAGAATATAAAGCCGGCAATGATCTAGAAGTGTGTGTCTGTAGATTGTCATCACTAAACATTTCTAAAGGCACCTTTGTTGTTATTTTGAAGATCTGGGTAAAGTTCCTATTGAAGGTGTACTTTACATCCCTGCTTTCTTTTTCTTTTCTTTTGCCATCTGTGTCCAACTGGGGAGGTTTCCCTTTACATTCTGTCCCATACACACAGCAGGAAGTGAAAAGAAATCTCTCTAAAGTGAAGCTAGGAGGTGAACAAAATAAAAATCACTCGATGCTAAAGGGACGTGCATGGAGGAATCTTCCCGGCTGGCTATTGTATTCTTTCCACCCGGTCCCGTCGATGGAAAAAGTGACTTTTGTCGAGCCGGGTGGTGCCAGCAGGGCCACACGCTGCATCGAACGTCAGCTGATTCAGGACTCAGCTGATTGGAGCAACTGCCTTCATTCCTCCCTATTCCTGTTCTGGTGAGAATGATAAAATGTTGGATTCCCATCAATTTCTGTCTCACTGACATTAGTCACCAGGATAAAGGGAGAGGTTGAATCTCCCCAGCAGGGGCACAGACAACAATGAACACTTGACAGGGGTTCCGACCCTTCCATACTGCTTTCAAAAACTGAGCTAGTGATATTTCCTCCTGCCCGTGCACCTTCCCCCAACATTTCCCTTGAGATTGATAACACAACAATCCACCCCTCCCCCCATGCCAAGGTGCTAGGTGTCATCCTTGACTCGGACATCACCTTTCTTCCCCACATCCAATCACTATCCAAATCCTGCCACCTTCACCTTCGTAACATCTCCAAAATACGCCCCTTCCTCACCAATGAGACCGCAAAATTACTCATCCACTCGCTTCTTATCTCACGACTATTGCAACTCCCTCCTCATTGGCCTACCTCTACACAGGCCCCTCCCCCTTCAGTCTATCATGAATGCAGCTGCCAGACTCATCCACCTGACCAACCGCTCAGTGTCTGCAACCCCCCTCTGCCGATCCCTGCACTGGTTCCATCAATACCCCCACCACCCTCTGCCAATCCCTCCACTGGTTTCCATCCTCCACCCCTCTCTGCCAATCACTCCACTGGCTTCCATCCTACACCTCCTCTACCAATCCCTACATTGGCTTCCACTCGCCCAAAGGATAAAATTCAAAATACTAACAACCACTTATAAAGCCATCCACAACTCAAATCTTCAACCTGGTCTCAAAATATCACCCTAACCGTCCTCTCCGCTCTTCAAAAGACCTCCTGCTTTCCAGCTCCGTCAACTTCTACCATGCTCGCCTCCAGGACTTCTCTAGAGTCTCCCCCGTCCTTTGGAACTCCTTGCCCCAACCTGTCCGTCTATCTCCCACTCTGACTGCCTTTAGGCGTTCCCTTAAGACTCATCTCTTCAGAGAAGCCTATCCCACCTCAACCTAACCACTGAACCATCACATTCTCAGACAATTCATCCCCACACAGCTCCCCCATCATGTATCACTGGCCCCTCCCTTGTAGATTGTAAGCCCTCAGGGGTCGGGCCCTCCTCACCATCTTGTCTTGAATTGTATTGTGATTGTAATGTCTTCCTTATATTGTAAAGCGCTGCGCAAACTGTTGGCGCTATACAACGCCTGTATAATAATAATAATAATAACTATTTTGGCTTTACATGTGGTTGTATATATTGTATGTCACCAGCACACCATTTAGGTGAAATCGACAAAAACGATATTGTACAGACGCATTGATCCTATAGATGTTTAATCTTACCAAAGAAGCAGCTAAAAATATAATCAGTCAGAGTCCTGTTGAGCTTCAGAGTGTCTGCGAGTCCCCGGTAATACTCTTTTCGAGGAATCCATAGAGCTTCTTCATATTCATCGCTGTCCACACAAGGGTAGAACACTCGTAGAAAACTGCCCTGCATGGAATGAAACCACTCAGTGTCATGTGTGACTATAGGAGGAGAAGGAAAGACAATGCTGGCCCAGCAGTAATAATCCAGACGTGCAAACACAATCCAGAGTCTGGCCGAAACAAGAGCGCTCTGGCTGCACACGCAATTCTGTTTGGGTCATGAAAGAAATGAGAAGGAACGTGCAAGATCACGTTCTCAAACAATTCATCCCCACACAGCTCTCTCCTCATGTATCACTTGCCCCTCCCTTTTAGATTGTAAGCCCTCAGGGCCAGGGCCCTCCTTACCATCTTGTCTTGAATTGTATTGTGATTGTAATGTCTTCCTTACATTGTAAAGCGCTGCGCAAACTGTTGGCGCTCTATAATGTATAACAATAATAAAAAGATGGAGGAAAGAGGGAAGTCTCCTAACCAACTTCTCTTGGGGAGGGGGGCAGTAGTAATTGGGCAAGGTGCTATAACATGACCAACCACTTTGTATTCTGGGCTGCCCTGTGGACCTAATGTTGTCAGAGGGCCGTTCACTAATGTCTACAGACAGCTCAGCAGATATTTGGTGGGCTGTGTTCTGCTAATCCTTCACTATAAAGTCCAGCTAGCAGCTGACACTTTGCAGCTCATGATTGTGAACCAATCAGAGTGGTTCCTGATCCTTTGTGTCAGCTTTGACACATGACCAAATGGAGGCCATGACAAATTAAGCTTTCAGCCGGAAGACGCCACTGTGTCTGTGTGTACCTGTTTAATATTCTAACTAGGGATGCACAGATACCTCTACTGGTATCGGTGCCAATGCTGAGTATTTGGGCGAGTACTCGCCCAAATGCTCCAATGCCTAGTCCAATATTTCCGGTATCAGGAAGCCGGGGAGCGCGTTATTACACACGGCCCAGCTTCCTGATTGGAGAGTACCGAAAAAAAAATAACAATACTCTTACTCAGTACCGAAATACCGGTATCTGTGCATCACTAATTCTACCTGTCAAAAACATTGACAATACTGGGAAAAAAAATTCAGCTTATAAGAACAAAAACAGAGCAACCGGCGGTCGGCATTGCACTGGAAGTGATTCTGGCGGGTGAGCTGCTGTCAAATGGCTTCCAGGGGCTGGTAAAGGGTACGCCCACCCTGCTCTACACCCCCTCCTGCGGGCCCGGGACAAGCATCACGGGTGTCAACGGGTAGAGAGACCAGATCCCTCCCCATTAAAAAGGAGAACTATGGGGTTAGGGCTTTTCCCATAGTTCTCCTTAGGGTAACGAGAGGACACAAACTAGCGTCCTTCCATCACCCTAGGCTCAGTATACCGCGAGCTGTAGCTCACTGTATACTGAGACGCCACAGATGAAGCGGATCCCGACAATTGTGCCGGGATCCGCCCAGCACTGGAAGTGACGCTGATTACATCACTTCTGGTCCCTCAGCACTCATTCCTCAGCTAGAGAACCCAAGGAAGAAGATGTTCGAGCACGATCTGTGCTTGAATAGCTTCTTTGCAGTGGAAAGGTGACACTAGGGGTCTAATAGACCCCTTATGTCACCTTAAACAGAACCTGTCACATCCAAAATGCTATCACATAGGGGACTTGTGAGCGCAGGGCTGCGCTAGACGGCAGTACAGGGTATGGATAGTACATCCGCATCTGCGAAAGGAAGGAGCATTTGCCCAAATTTAAGTATAGCAGGTGAGGGGGGGCACATTGGAGGGGGTGATTCCATTTTCCCACATTCACCTGGGAAAGCGGAATCGCCCTTTAAAATAGAGGGCATTTCCATGTCTCATTCCATTACATATCCCAAATTAGGAAGATTAGTCCTCATTTCCAGAAAGCGGGTAGAGTCATGCAAATCATTCCTTTACATCCAAAAAAGCCAAACACCCAGAACCGCTATTGCAGAGTGTAAATGCAGCCGAATCTTATAGATCCATTTATACCAAACAGCTGTTCCAGGCTTCTCGGCCATCACCAGTGTAATGTATGAAAGCCACGGCTTCTCTGGAGGAGAAATGTTCACAACTTCAAATACCTGAATGGTGTGATCGCTCATCAGGTCTGTACAGCCGACTGTGTGGGGTCCCTTCCCACTGGGTATCCCACAGAAATGGAGACTGCTGTAGTTTCCCATCCTCACTGCTGCTCTGGAGTCTTCCAAGCGTCTGATGGGAACGCTCTTCAGAGCCTGCAAGAAAGCCAAACATGAATGTGTCTGCGGAGATAGACAAGTCAGAACATTTCAGCTTAAAGTGCATCCAAACCCAGGAACAAGGATGTAATATACTGCAGCTTACCAGGCTTTGCATGTGCTGCCTGCATTCCTTTTCTTTTTACCTGGTGATCCCGGGAATAACACACTTCCTGTCCCTGGGTGGCTACGCTCACACCTCCCCTATATCTATGGAGGGAGCCATAGTTGTCACCTCAGTTGGACTTGGCACATGTCTGCCTTTGGGGAGATTAGTAGTTTACAGAGGAAAGATGACATTGTGACAAGGACACGTCATTGCTGACAAGATCAGCAGGTAGTCTCTGTACTTCCTAAAACTATCGATCGGCTGATCAGAGGGGTGCCAACACCGCAACCCAGTGTGCGGATTTCTTCCAGTTCATCAGGAACCGGCTAAAAAGGGGAGAGGGGGCTCTTGGAACCAGTCCAGCAACCCGCAGGGAGCGGGGATCAGGTAAGTAAATCCTTCTTCAAACCAGCCCCTAAAGAGTACTTAACCCTTGCAGTGTGGGGGTGGCCCATGTCAAGGGCAAGGTGTTTATCTCCTCGGAGTTCTTCTTTGGCTTTTATCTCTCCGGAGTTCTTCTTCAAGGATTGGTAAGCTGCAATATATTCAGTTCTTGGGTTTGGTTATCCTGTACCCGATGTTGTTGAAGTGGACCACACACACACACACACACAAAACACACCACTCGGTGTAAACAAATTTACAAAACTCCATTACCCCCCAAAAAAACCTTAAAGCTCCCAGTCCTCGGCTTCCAGCCCACTGGTCCCTCGGTGATATCACTCAGCCTACCCCTGACCTCCTAGGAGAGGATCCCAGACATTGCAAGGATGTGCTCCTGCACTGTGCGGCATGCAGAGAGGAGCTGTCCACAGAATATACTGTGCGGGACGGCATACGCACTACAGATTTTTGGAGTACAGTGATCCGGAAAGTGACATACAACATGGAGTACAGAGGGCAGCGGTCCATGTTATTTAATGTACAGCACAACATGGGACTGTCTGGAATATGTAACATACAACATGGAGTACAGAGTGAGTGGTCCATGTTATTTAATGTACAGCACAACATGGGGCTGCCTGGAGTATGTAACATACAACATGGAGTATGGAGATCTGTAGTCGGAAGCCTGGCATGTACAGCTCAGCACAAACCTGTCCCAGTCAAGTCCCAGGGTACTGCAGGCCCATGGCCACCCCACCTCTCATCCTTCTGACCTGCAGAGGGACAATCCTCTACTGCTGGTAGGGAAAATATCCAGTTCTCTGGGCAAAAATGCCTTGTTGATGCCAGAGGAGAATGGCCAGACTGGTTCAAGCCGACTCAAATAACTGCTCATTATATGCGAGGTATGCAGAATACCGTCTGTGAACGCACGGCATATCCAGCCTAGAAGCAGATGGACTACAGCAGCAGAAGACCACACCGGGTGCCACTCCTGTCACCTAAGAACAGGAAACGGAGGCTACAATTCACAAGGACTCACCAATATGGACAATAGAAGATTGGAAAAACGTTGCCTGGTCTGAGAAGTATCGATTTCTGCAGCAACATTCGGATGCTCGGGTCACAATTTGGCATAAACAACATGAAAGGATGGATCCATCCTGCCTTGTATCAGTGGTTCAGGCTGGTGGTGGTGTAATGGTGTGTGGGGGGATATTTTCTTGGCACACTTTGGGCCCCTTAGTATCAATTGAGCATTGATAAATGCCACAGAATACCTGAGTATTGTTACTGACCATGTCCATCCCTTTATGACCACAGTGTACACATCTTCTGATATCTACTTCCAGTGGGATAACGCGCCATGTCACAAAGCTAAAATCACATCAAACTGGTTTCTTGAACATGATAATGAGTTCACAGAACTCAAATGGCCTCCACAGTCACCAGATCTCAATCCTATAGAGCACCTTTGGGATGTGGTGGAACGGGAGATTCCCATCATGGATGTGCAGCCGGCAAATCTACAGCAACTGCGTGATGCTATCATGTCAATATAATCCAAACTCTCTAAAGCCCCGTTCCCACTGTGCGATTTGCATATTGCGCGATAGCACGAGATTTGCCGCGCGATATCGCGTTCAAGCTTGCATTGAGCAAGCTTAAATCGCGGCTAAATCCGCTCCAAAAAGGGTCCTGCTGTAGCGACACACGACCCGCGACAGCAGGACCCTTTGCCCCCATTGAAATGCATTGGAGCGGTGATATTGCGGGAATTACCGCGCGATAAATCGCTCAATGTGAACAGGGCTTAAGGAACATTTCCAGCACCTTGTTGAATCTATGTCATGAAGAATGAAGACCAGAAAGGAGTCCAACCCGGTACTAGCAAGGTGTACCTAATAAAGTGGCCGGTGATCACACGGTCACATGCTACTGTATGCACATGTGCCCGGGCACTGGAACACACTGGATCTTGCTTACATACCGACTGTTCAGAATATGTAAATACCCCGGGGCGCATGGTCTGGGCACAGGGTCACTTTAGATCGTGCCATCTTCCAATACTACTATAAAGACTTTTTTGCCCAACTTCAGAATTTCGTAAGAGATTCATTGCGCAACCCGCAGACTTTTTGTAAACACTGGAGCGTGGAAAAGGCATCGAGTTGCGAAAGACCATTTATAACTACAAGAGGTCAAAAGCAAATAAAACAATTCTCACCCAATACAGAAAGCGGCTACGACCAAACAAATGTCTTGAAAAGCTTATGACAGGAGACATGTCAGACACTCTTCACCCCGCGTATTACATGTTCTCACTGAGAGTGCCGAGTTCAAGTACGTTTCTGTATTACAAGGATTGGATGTCATGTGTCACAGTCAGCAATGATTAGAACCCTGCGTTACAAAAGAAAAGAAGAAACATCAAATAAATGTCCGCTACGACTGCCATTGTGATCGGTGTGTATGCTGGAGGGAAGGCCGGCAATAGTGCAGGTCACAGAGCCCAAGCTTCATCATACAGCAAGCCACAAACAAGCAGACATGCGTCACATGCACAATCCCTGGTGGTCACCAGAACTAGTGTCCCCATTGGAGGATTGCCCATCTGTTTCTGTTCTGGTGACAACCCAAAGTTTGGGACAAAAAGATAAGCGTGAATCTCCTAAAGGGGGACGCAGCAATAGAAACCTGACCAAAGGAGGACAGCAAGACACAAGAGTCAAGTGGGGAGAACCTTGGAAAACCCTTCACCCCAACTAAGCTGAGCTATAAACATGGTGAGGTGCCACCATCTTGCTGATGGAAACCCTGCACAATGTCACTCTCTGGGTTCCTCTCTCCTTCTGACCAGCAAGGGAGTGACGCTTGGAAGCAGGTCAGTATTAATATGCTTTTCATGGGGGCAGATCACTACTGTGCAATGATCTTCATTTCATCTCCCTCTGCCCCGGATATATCTCAAACCTTGTCTCAAAGTATCACCCTAACCGTCCCCTGAGCTCCTCCAAAGACTTTCTGCTTTCCAGCTCCCTCGTCAACTCCTCCCATACTCGCCTCCAGGACTTCTCTAGAGTCTCTCCCATCCTCTGGAACTCTTTACCCCAGCCTGTCCGTCTGTCTCCCACCTTGACTGCCTTTAGGCATTCCCTAAAGACTCATCTCTTCAGGGAAGCCTATCCCACCTCAACCTAACCACTCAACCATCACGTTCTCAGACAATTCATCCCCACACAGCTCCCTCCTCATGTAATCACTTCCCCCCTCCTCTTTTAGATTGTAAGCCCTCAGGGCCAGGGCCCTCCTTACCATCTTGTCTTGAATTGTATTGTGATTGTATCTGCTACAGTAGCAAGCCACAAGCTGCGTGTGGTCAGCGGTTCGCTGAAGTTCGCCCAGGCCTGTGCACAAATGTGTCTAATACCCCCCACCTCCTGCCCCAATCAGCTGAGTCAAGGGCAATCCCCATCCCTTTGTGACGTGCATCTGCGGGGCCAGTGAATGTCCCAGCCGCGACTGATTGGGCACGGATTGGGTGGGAGTGGCAAGCAGGGGAATAATGTGTGTCAAACATCATGCATCTACACAGCCAATCATTGCACCAGCACTAAGGTTTCTCCATCAAGAGAAAGGATTGACAATGGCTGATTCCTGAGTTATAATGGCACCAGCCTTCTGGAGAGAAACATAGGCAAGGTTATTGTCAGGGGAGTGCTGTAATCTATGTGAGAGGTAATAAATACCTTCAAACATTACACTTTTGCATCTGAAGCCAGGTACACCTTAAATCTCTTTATATGAAGATACCAGATACTGAAGACTTCAGAAAACAAGGGGTCTGATCTCTGACCTGTCCTACAGCAAAGGGGATCCGATTCTCTCTGACCAGAAAACAGGGTGACGGGGCAAAGTCTTTGGCACATATATTCTGATTTTTAGCTTGCTCTTCTCCCCTGGACACCTAACAGGGCACTACAGCTCTCGATTGGCCCGACAACCGCTGAACAGATGGAGCGTCCCACTTAGAACCCCATTTCCCAATCTGCTTTACCTGCCCAGATAATAAACTTATGGGCCTACTATACTAGGCCACGTTGCCTGGCCTTCTTCAGGAAAGCCCATTGGCTTTCTGAGTGGGCTATATCATACAGATCCAAAGCCGCCTTGGTAATCCACTTAACAGCAATTGGTTTCTGAAGGAGGCCTAAGAAGACTGAGCCGTCGTCAGTAGTGCCTCCCTGCCCCAGGAATCCCAGGTATCAGTAGTGCCTCCCTGCCCCAGGAATCCCAGGTATCAGTAGTGCCTGCCTGCCCCAGGAATCCCAGGTATCAGTAGTGCCTGCCTGCCCCAGGAATCCCAGGTATCAGTAGTGCCTGCCTGCCCCAGGAATCCCAGATATCAGTAGTGCCTGCCTGCCCAGGAATCCCAGATATCAGTAGTGCCTCCCTGCCCCAGGAATCCCAGATATCAGTAGTGCCTCCCTGCCCCAGGAATCCCAGATGTCAGTAGTGCTGCCTCCCTGCCCCAAGAATCCCAGATATCAGTAGTGCTGCCTGCCTGCCCCAGGAATCCCAGATTTCAGTAGTGCCTCCCTGCCCCAGGAATCCCAGATGTCAGTAGTGCTGCCTCCCTGCCCACCAGGAATCACAGGTATCAGTAGTGCCTGCCTGCCCCAGGAATCACAGATGTCAGCAGTGCCTGCCTGCCTGCCCCAGGAATCCCAGATGTCAGTAGTGCCTGCCTGCCCCAGGAATCCCAGATGTCAGTAGTGCCTGCCTGCCCCAGGAATCCCAGGTATCAGTAGTGCCTCCCTGCCCCAGGAATCCCAGGTATCAGTAGTGCCTGCCTGCCCCAGGAATCCCAGATGTCAGTAGTGCCTGCCTGCCCCAGGAATCCCAGTTATCAGTAGTGCCTGCGGATGCGCGATAGATGCGTCCAGCGCTAAGGGAGTCTACTTTGCAAAAAGGGGTAATTTTGGGGTGTTTGTACTGTCCTGTTTTTTTATGTTTTATAACAAAGTAAGCAAAACAGCTTTTTATTTATTTTCAATTTGTTTTGCTTTTTTCCTTTAGACTGGGGATGTACCAATACCATTTTTCCAGACCGAGTAACGATACTTTTCCTCACTTACTCACCAATACCAATAACTGATAGTGACAGTTTTTATATAACAATACACGGTAATGGTTTTTAGGACCGTGGTGAAGCACCAGGGCCCAGTCACATCTGCTATGCTGGTAGTTCTACCACTGACTCCAAGCTGTAGAGGGACTACAAAGCTTAGCAATACATTATACAGCAATGCAGAATAATACCATCAGCTTTAAAGGACTACATATCCCAGCAATACATTATACAGCAATGCCGAATACCACCAGCTATAGAGGATTAGAAATATTAGCAATACTTTATACAGCAATGCAGAATAGCACTGGCTATAGAGGACTACAAATCCCAGCAATACATTATACAGCAATGCAGAATAGCACCTGCTATAGAGGACTACAAATCCCACCAATACATTATACAGCAATGCAGAATGGCACTGGCTATAGAGGACTACAAATCCCAGCAATACATTATACAGCAATGCTGAATACCACCAGCTATAGAGGATTAGAAATATTAGCAATACTTTATACAGCAAAGCCGAATAAAACAATCAGCTATAGAGGACTACAAATCCCAGCAATACATTATACAGCAATGCAGAATACCACCAGCTATATAGAGGACTACAAATTACAGCAATACATTCGACAACAATGCAGAATGGCACTGGCTATAGAGGACTGCAAATCTCAGCACTACATTATACAGCAATGCAGAATAATACCATCCACCCCCTATAGGCAGCAGATCCTCCTACACGGAGCAGATCCCCCTACATCACCCCAATAGGCAGCAGATCCCCTCTGTCCTCTCACTATAGGCTCGGGTACCTATGCATCAGGATATATTAATGACAAAGTGAGCCTCCTTCCTCAGCTTCTGCCACCTTGGCTCCTCTCATCCAGCACCACTACGGACACCCATCTGTCCCCGAGCCAGCAGCGGGCCCCCTCTTCAGACATCAGGAAGTGCAGCTGGTTCCCAAGAAGGCTGCCACAAGGTCCCCAGCAAGGCCGGGACCTAAGGCAGCTGTTTCACTTGAATAATTAAAGCACCCGTATTGGTTTTTCGGTATCAGAACATTTGCACAAGTACAAATGCTCAGTATTGGCACCGATACCGATACTGGTATGGGTGCATCTCTACTTTAGACACAAGACAGCTTGAACTGCCTAAGGGTACGTTCACACCATATGCAGTGCGTTCCAGCCCAATTCCGGCCGGCTCACTATTTCGGAGGGCCATTGAAGTGAATGGCATCGTAGCCACGCCCTCCGGCCGCAATGCGATCGCCCGCACGGGATCGCTGGGCACATTATGCCTATGGTCCGGTCCGGTCAAGATGCTGCAAGCACTTCAAATGGCCCGCCACACCCCCTCCAGCCCCACAAAATAGTGAGTAGGCCGCAATGCTATGCAGTGCGTTCCGGCCGGAAACGCACTGCATGTGGTCTGAACGTACCCTTACAAAAATGATCTAAAATTTTTTTGGATACAGTGTTGCATCACGGAGTCATTGTCAGCCAAACTATCACAGCACTAAGGGGCGGTGCAGACCTGGGCGATCCGGGACGCGCGTGGTCGTGCACAATTGCACACAGTGATTGCCGCGCGACCCCATTGTTTACATGTACCTTTTTTGCGACACACGATGTGTTCGGTTGCACGGGCGGAATCAAGGCGGGAAACTGCAGTCTGCCCGGTGCCATTCCAAAATAGTAATGGTATTGCCCACCACCGCCAGCGTGATTGTCAGTGGTGGGCAATCCGGATCAGAGTCACGGATCGCCGAGGTGTGAACCTGAGCCTTAAAACTGAAAAATGAACTGGTGATGAATAGGGTGCAACACGCTGGCAATGAAATTATTAAACACATAGGGGGAATTTATCAAAACTAGAGCAGACAAAAATCTGGAGCAGCTGTGCATGGCAGCCAATCAGCATCCACCTTTCATTTTCAAACCTTAACTGAACAAACTGAAGAGAGAAGCTGATTGGTTGCCATGCACAGCTGCTCCAGTTTTGATAAATTCCCCCCAGAATGTGTGTACAACATAAATAATACCAGGTGGATTTATCGCCCAATCAAATGACATGAAGCACCAAGTTCAGGATAGGACCGAGCTCTCATGGGCTGGTCGTAAAGCTGAGAGTAAATGTAAATGTGCTTTGCCAGAGAGAACGTTATAGACGTCCAGCACAATCGCAGTCGTGTCTGCTTTGCATTCACACAGAACAAAACCCTCTGTGCAGCCAAACAAAGCTT